AGCTAGCGCTGTGTGTTGGATCTGCCGCCGGCAGAACATAATAGCTCTTTGTCATTGCTTACTGGCACCTGTTACGTTCCCACAAGCTTCAGTTCTATTCTATCAGGGATTCCTGATGAGCGAAATTGTACCTACCTTACAATGCCAATCTTAGCATTCAAAATTCAGCCAGAAGAGCTCTCTAAAGGATGATAATTATACGCTTAATTTCTGCAGATACCAACCAAGCTGCAGAGCAGGTCTTTTTCAGCTGAAGATATGCACTCCTTTTGAAATCGTTATTAAACTGTTACCACGGTTATTGTTCTGCATGTATTTCAGACTATAATTTCAAGAAAAATTAATGTATTTTAATCATCTTACATTCCATTAAAGTAATTACAATTTTTATTTATCATGTATATTCCCGAAGAATGCTATCTTCTGGTATGTGGCGCCATGTAGATGTTGTATGAACCGACGTTTCGGTACGTACGTAAATACGAATGATACAGCACCTCACAGTGTCTTTCATTTGCTACCATGGCGCTGCGTGGAAGTTTGTAGCACGGAAGCCGATATAACAAATAAGCCTTCTTGTTGAATTCTTCACAGCTGTTATACAAACTATCTCATTGGCATCATCATCAGCAGAATGACCCTTCCTTTGGAGATGCTTCCGAATTTAGATTCTGCCGAATTTGTCCGGTTTTTACTTCTTTGGATTTCTCGAAGATATCTTTCACAGAGCCAGGTTGTCAACCTTGCGTCCAACCAACCCCAGGCGATGTCCCTGTATTTATACCCCAGGAACAGGGTGGGCACTGTCATACCTCCAGACACCGGGGGGACATTATAATTATACAGAAAATAAAACAAATTCACACAGAAGTAAGGAAGTAAAATATATTGTGGTATGACGGTTTAAAGCCGGAAAAGTGAGGTCAGAATATACGTTCATTGCTAGGCAACGACTCGATAAACACATCCCCGTGGCAACGAATACGCAAGCAACAGTCGAGTATCTTCCGTTGCTATGCAACGGCGCCGTAAGCGCACCTTCCCCAAAATAGGTTGTGTTTTATGGGTGATCGGTGCGCAGTTATTATAAAGAAGATGTCATTTGAGAAGTCGTGGTAAAGTAGAGTCGAGTTTCGAGACGTCAGCCTACCGGGATATGAGCTTGGGAGCAGAGGAATTGAATTTAGTCGAGTCTTCGGAATTGGCAGCTGCAGAATAAGGAAAAGAGAGAGAATTGTGCCGTGAAAAGAAGACTTTATATGTGATTTGAAGTGACAGTGAGACTATGATAAATCCGTTGCCAGGATAGGACTAGTGAAGCCTGAAAACCCTTTTGCATGTGTAACGGTGAATTGCAATATGTGTAGATCAGAGATAGCCCCGTATTTCCTGTAGTCCTGAGTTGTATGAATAAGGTGTCAATAAATCCAATCATCCAATCCAGGACTCGTCCTATAAGACATGCAAAACCCTTACATGTGACAGTATACAGAGAATATAAAAAAAAAATAATCTTACAGGAATTCTATTTGTATTACCGTGTCCACATGAAAGAAAACATGGTTTTACGAATTACTGATACATTTATAAATTGGTGGTCTATTCTAAAACGGCAGTAGTAGGAGAAAATTTTGACAAAAGATTGCTGTTTTCCCTCTACCAATTAATGTGAATAAACTCGAACACAAAATTATGCCAAACGAATAATTGAATGTTGATAAAAGTGCCCAGAAGATTCTTAGAAAATCTCAGCTCTAGCAAATAAAATCGGCCTATTTCGCTGATGGACGGATTATCGTACAAGCATAACAGATAGACAGAAATCACAAACAAATAGTGCAGTCATCTGTTACGTAGACTGCGGTTTGATCGGCCTGATGATGCTGCATCATTAATGAATTTGCTGAATATGTAACTTACTTACATCAATCATGAATGTTAGTTGAATCGCTCAGTGAACGTTTCGTTATGGAACATTTGTTGTACCTGTCATTTAAATTCCGTACCGTGTATAATCATTATTCATAATACCAAAATAAAAGGAGTATGAGGAGTTTATGCGAGGAAGGATGAATCCATTCTCTTGTGTGATTAATTTTAACTAATGGAATAATTACTGTGTATATGTCAACAGATACATCCGTCTGCAGTGGAAAACATTTTTTGATAAGTTTCGATTTTAACAGTATCGCAAAAAAAAATGACTGATGTATTCAATTTATGGTCATGGTGACAGACGTGTATGATAATCTATTGCTGTAACATTAGCGTTGACAGCGTCTATAGCTGTAACATTGGCGTCGAAAACATCTATAGCTGTAACATTGGCGTTGTCAACGTCTATAGGTGTAAAATTGGCGTGGAAAACGTCTATAGCTGTAACATTGGCGTTGACAATGTCTATAGCTGTAACATTGGCGTTGTCAACGTCTATTGCTGTAAAATTGGCGTCGAAAACGTGTATAGCTCTAACACTGGCTTTTTCAACGTCTGTAGCTGTAACATTAGCGTTTTTTGTCAAATATCGTTGGTTTTATTACCAAATATATGTTCGTATTTTCTCGAAATAGTATAAGACGTATTACATTTCTCCGCACATATGAGACATGTTTTCACGGTGGTAACGATTGAGACTGTGGGCCTTCTGGTTTATGATACTGTTCAGTCTTCCATGCGATGTCGTAACCCAAACGACCATAATTTAATTTCTTTAGATACGGTGACATGTAGATGCGTTGCTAGGCAACGACAGCGAAATAAGCAGTTATACAATAGCCGTTGGCAAGTAATGGCAACGCAAATAAACATGTTTCCACGGAAACAAGGGAACAGTGGAAGTGATGATTTCTACGCGGTCCGTACCTATCCAGAGAATCCAGAGAAAGGGGGACGTCCGCCGTTGGAGGCCGCTACCAAGCAACGGCTAGCGAAGGCTGTAACCGACTGAGACCTAGTGTCGTATAGTGATTTGTGAAGTGTGTAGAACAGTGACAGCACAGTCCTTACTTGTAGTTATGAGTTTAAGAGTTTAATAAATCCGATTACCAATCTAAACCCCTTCTATAATCAGTCTATCACGTGGCAGTATTATTTTACTCACTGATGCATTTAAATCATGTCAAAATAGAAAACTTTATTTTAATCTCACTGAATATTTGGCATTCGTTACAGGACAACAAAATTAGACATACAGTAATTTTTTTTGGAGAGAGGCGCTTAATCAATGGGGTTCATTAGCTTCTCCTGTTCATCTCTGTCCTTCAGTTTCTGTATATCTCATATATTCTCAATGAAATGATTTTGATTACTCTTGGATCTGAAATCCTAAATTAGCTCCTATCTCAGATAATATTTTTGAATGAAGCACATAAAGACGTTTTCAAAAGTCAGTATAACGAATTTTTACCAGAACATTGTAGTCCGTGTGTGTATGTAAGTTGACAGCTGTCTATTTCCATGGAACAGAATTAGGTCTTTGAATTTAATAGTTTCTCACGTGCTGGAGATATTCCCTGGTTATGTCTATGTCATCACCAAGCTCTCAAAAGTCCGCCATTGCATCCCGCTGTAGTCAGTTGAATTCTGCTTATATTTTGACAAATTGTTATTTCCAGATATAGTTTAAAATATTATAAAATATTATTGTTTCACCACAATACTAAGCGAAGGGTATAAATTATGACATTTATTTTTATGATTTTTTTTTCTGTCCTCATGTTCCTTGAATATTATAAGTTCGAACCAATTATTCCTTGTTCTCATATAGCGTAAATGTTTTGAAATTGTTTTTGACAGTCTGAGACGGACGTATGTACCCATACACAACAGGCATGAACTATTCTTGCCTTACATATTTAGTATCGAAACGATTGAAAGTGTTTTATTACCTAACCTAACTGGCAAATATATTGTGCCTATGAAAGTCGTTACCTTTGATATGTTTCTCAGATTATGTAATTGTTCGCAATCACATTTCGGTTATGCAGGCTGTCATGTGAAACTCGATATATCTTCGCATGCTACCAGAACTAACTTTGTGTGTTACAGTTACGTGAACAGAGATAACTTTCTGTGTTACAGTTACGTCACCGGAGCAAACTTTGTATTTTACAGTTACGTGACCAGAGCTAACTTCCTGTGTAACTTTCTGTGTTACAGTTACGTCACCGGAGCTAACTTTGTATTTTACAGTTACGCGACCAGAGCTAACTTCCTGTGTAACTTTCTATGTTACAGTTACGTCACC